TCTTGGATTATGGGGGGTTTATCCTGCTCGCCGACCCTGTCTTCCAGCTCAGGGGGCCGAGTGGCCTGATGATAACTGCTGTGTCTGCCCTGGATCTTTGGGCTGAATGCAGCTGCAGCCTCTTGACTCGGCGATGCCGCACCTGTGTTGACCTGTGGGACCTTCTGTAGGTGCTGGGGAGAAGCTGGTTCTGTCCGAGCTCCTGCAGCCCATCCGTCCCAAATCCGCCCTGAGCAGCGTAAAGAAAGAGCTGACCAGAGTGAAGCAGAAAAAGGCAGTGGAGCTGCCGCTCAGCAAAGAGGAGGCAAAGCGGGTGAGTGGGCCTGCGCGGGCAGCAGGGGGAAGTTCTGGCCTTACGGGGCAGTAGAGTTGAGCCCCTGCGTGCCCCTCTACTCCTCTCTGATGCGGACTGGCTTTTCTTGTTCTTTACGTCAGCCTTTCCCAACTCCTCCTTGTCCCTTTTCACCCCTGCCTGCAGGTCGTCCTACGTCAGGACCTCTAAAGACGTGGGCAAATGGCAGCAGGTGGTTTTGCAGAACCGACGGGCAGAGCAGCTGGTTTTCCCTCTGAAGCAGGAGATTGCTACAGTCGCCCCCCTGGAGCAAGTGGTTTCAGCGTGGAAGGTGGGTGCTGTCACGTGTCCCAGGGGTTGTCTGGGGCAGCTCAACGTCTCCTGGCTGCGCTGGGAGGAGCGAGGTGGGCGTGAGGAAGGCCCAGCCTGTAGCTGAGGCTCTGGGCAGGTGCACGCTGAGCTTGGGAAGATTAAAAGGGAAGTTTTCTGCGTTACTCACACGTAGCAGATGTGTAAATGCTCTCTGGGAGAGGCCGGGTAAGGCGTGAGCAGAGGGTTTGGAGCCTGCTCTGTCCCCTCTCCTCTTCTTAGCCTTTCAGCCCTAGACACGCAGGCTGAGTCTGCCGTTTCCTGGTCCCTGCCCTAAGCCAGGTGCCTGCTGGCAGCCCTTGGCCACTTGCGCTGAGGCAAAGGCAGGGTTTGGTTTGCCAAAGCCTGCACATCTGTAAATCTTCATTATGGAAGAAGGATGCTTTTGGTTTTGAATGCGAGTTTTGGTGGGGGTTGTACTGCTGGCAGGAGAGTCGCTGTCATCCCTGAGAGCTCTCCCAGCTGTCCAGATGCTCAGGTGAGAGACAGCCTCTGCCAAGCTCCTGACATACCCGGCACTCGCCTCGATCTGCCCAAAGGTCCCTTTCTGTTTCGGCGGGACATGGTGTCACATGGCCTGGAACTTCTGCTGCTACCCGGTGCTACCCGGTCAGCACTGCCTGTTGACTGCGAGCCTATTTCTCTACCCTGGGAGGAATTCTGCCTGCACTAACCTGGCGCGATGGCTGGCAGGCGAGCCTCAGGCTGTTGTGTGGGACCCGTGAGCAGTGCTGAGACCCCAGAAGGAGGGGGGCACGCTTCGCTGGGCCCTCCCGTGGACTGGCTGAGGGGCACCAGGAAGGATGGGGACATCTGGAGGAGCGTTGGCTCTTGCAGTTCTTGTCATCGTGCTCTTGCTGTGTCTGTTCTGTCCCAACAGGCCCGAACTCCCCTGGAGCAGGAGATCTTTGGACTGCTCCACAGGACGCAGCAGCCCATCACGGACCCGCTCCTGACACCAGAGGAGACAGCCTCGCTGCAGGCGATGAGCTTGGAGGAGGTGAGTGCTTTCCCCCCCTGCCATGCCCTGGCTCTGGAGGCCTCTTCCTTGGCTTGCCCTCACGCTGCGCTCCCTGTCAGGCCCGGCAGCGGCGGGCAGAGCTACAGAAGGCTCGGGCTGTGCAGTCCTACTACGAAGCCAAGGCTCGGCGAGAGAAGAAGATCAAGAGCAAGAAGTAAGGCTCTGCCGTTGCTGGGCTCGATGCGGTGGGAGAGGGCTGGGTCCTGGCTGTGGTGCTGGAGCCAACCCTGCCCAGTGTGTGGGTATGGCCAAAACACGGAGGAAGGCAGAGCGGCCCCCTTCCTCCCCGGGACCTGCAATATATTGGGCAGCCTCCTGCCCAAATCAGCGCTGCGTTCCCAAGGGCCTCCCCAGCTCCGTGAGGTCTCACTCCCTGGCTCTCTGCCCTTGGGCTGCAGGTACCATCGCGTGCTGAAAAAAAGCAAGAGACGCAAGGCCTTAAAGGAGTTTGAGCTGCTGCATAAGTCAGACCCTGAGGCCGCCTTGGCAAGGCTGGAGGAGCTGGAGCAGCTCCGGATGCAGGTGCTGCTTCTGTGCTTCTCCCCCACCCCTTGAGAAGTCCCCACTCGCAAGGTTGCTCTTTCCAGTGCTTCTCTTCCTCTTCCCCCCAGGAGCGGATGAGTCTCAAGCACCAGAACAAGGGAAAATGGGCCCGCTCCAGGGCCATTATGGCCAAGTATGACCTGGAGGTGAGATCACAGAATCACAGAAGGGTTTGGGTTGGGAGGGACCTTCGAAGACCATCTAGTCCAGCCCCCTGCCATGGGCAGGGACATCTTTCACCAGATGAGGTTGCTCAGAGCCCTGTCCAACCTGCCTCTGAACACTTCCAGGGATGGGGCATCCACAACTTCTCTGGGCAACCTGCTCCAGTGTCTCACCACCCTCATCATAAATCATTTCTTCTTTATAGGTAACCTAAACCTACCCTATTTTAGTTTAAAGCAGTTGCCCCTTGTCCTGTCACTACAGGCCTTGGTATAAAGTCTCTCTCTGTCTGTCTTTATAAGCCCCCTTTATATATTGAAAGGCCACAGTAAGGTCTCCAACGCAGGTTGGGGAAGGCAGGGACAGCTGAGGTGGGGCAAGGAAGGTGGGCATGTTGTTTCTGGCCTGCGTTAGAAACATCTCAGTCCCCCCACAGGCCCGCAAGGCCATGCAGGAGCAGCTGGCCAAGAACAAGGAGTTGATGCAGAAGGTGCGGGTGGAGCTGCCTGAGGAGGAGCCAGGTGATGTGCCTGAGGAGGACCTCACGTCGGTGACCATCCCCACCATCCCCGAGGGTGCCAGTGGAGCTAATCCCTGGATGCTGGGCAAGCCCAGCGGCCCAGCCGAGGAGCCTGAGGGGCAGGAGGGTCTTGGAGACGTTGAGGTGCCTGGTGTTGCGGAGAGCAAGGAGGAGATAGAGGAGGAAGAGATGTCGGAGGAGGAAGCTCTGCTACAAGACTTTGCACAGAAACGACACGTGCGGCAGCAGCGGGCAGGGAGCCCTGAGGGACAAGGTGAGGAGCTCGCAGCCCTGGGCAGTGCGGGTCTGGTGTGCCACAGCGTTGGGCAAACAGAAGGGGGTCGTGGGGGCTGTTTTCTGCCTGGTTTCGCACAGCCGTCCTACGCCCTCCCTGCTCGCAGGTTACTTTCTCACCTGTTGCCTCAATGCGTAGGTGCTGATGAGACGGAGGCGGTTTCTGAACTGCTGGGGGACAGCCCCATCCGCCCCGTCTGTGCCGAGGAGCAGGCGAGCCTTGGGATCGAGCAGCCTCCCCAGGCCCAGGAGGAGATCCTGCTGTCGGAGCAGCTGGGCCGGGTGCGGACGATGGAGGACGTTGAGGCTCTGGCCTCAGAGGAGCGTGTGGAAGAGCAGGAGAAGCCAGCGGCCACAAGAGCAGAGAAGCGAGTGCAGCAGCAGGAGGAAGGCAGAGCTGGGGACAGGCATGCCAAGAAACCACCAGCCAAGAAGAAGATGATTAGCCTGCAGGCCGTGCTGGCTGGGAAGCCCCAGGAGGTTCAGTGCCCCAGCCTACCTGTGGTCATGGAGGAGGAGGTGAGCAGGACAGGCCTGCCCCTTGGTCCCTGGGCAGGGTTGACTGCAGGGGACTGACTCTTCTCTCTACAGGAGGGTGGCATCGACCAAAGAGGGGTGATCACAGAGGCCTTTGCCGGGGATGACGTGGTCGCTGACTTCCGCCGGGAGAAGCGCAAGGCGGAGCAGGCTGCGAAGCCGCAGCCGGTGAACCTGGTGCTGCCAGGCTGGGGCGAGTGGGGAGGCACGGGATTGAAGCCCAGTACCAAGAAAATAAAACGGTAAGTGTCAAGGGCTGCAGCAACATGCCTCAGCCCGGCACCGGGGCCTGACGTCTCGCTTGCCCGGCAGGTTCCTGCTCAAGCCGCCCCCGGCGCCTCCCAGGAAGGACCAGCACTTGCCCCACGTCATCATGAGCGAGCGGCGCAACATCCACGCGGCAGCACATCAGGTGGGTGATGTCTGGCCTCCGCGAGCAGCAGCAGTGAGTGCTTCAGCACCCAGGCTGGCCCAGAACCTTCCTGTGACCCATTCCCAAAATACCCTGAATCCCTGCCTGTAATCCCTGCCCGGCCATGTAGTTTCCAGCTTTGACAACCCAGAGGCCAGCAGGGTGATGGAGGGAGGAGGAATTTACAGGACTGCTCCCTTGACGGCTGCTGCTGCTGTGCCAGCCCTCCTGCGATCTGTTAGAAAAGGGGATGGAGCGAGGTGGTCAGCGGGGCAGGGGACTGGAAGCAGAGTGTGAGCGGGTCCTGGACGAGTGGGAATCGGCAGCAGCGTGGGATGGAGGCAGCCCCCGGGGTGCTGGGCGGGTCGCTGTGGCAGTTACCCAGCTGTGCTGCTTCCCCGCAGGTCAGCGAGCTGCCCTTCCCCTTTGAGAGGCACCAGCAGTTTGAGCAGAGCATCCGGACGCCCGTGGGCCCCACGTGGAACACGCAGCGTGCCTTCCAGAAGCTGACCGCCCCCCGCATCATTACCCGAGCGGGTCACATCATCCAGCCCATCTCTGCCGAGGATATCCCCGACATGG